TGGGGTACCTATTTCCGTCGTATCCTTTCGCCAAAATGTTGTGTGCGAACTCAGAGTTACCTTAGAAATTTGGTACAAGGCTGTTGTGGCTAGCTGTCCGCGAGTCACCGTGACTTACAATCTAATAATTTGATCTAACTTCCAGGATTAGGTCATATCATCTTGAGATCCTTTTAATAAGGAAAGAGAAGCGAGAATGGAGAGAAAAACCATGAAATAAAATGCTCCAGACCAACCATAATAATCCACTATCACACCAATCACTGGACCTTCCACAATAGCTCCTGCACCACCAAAACCTGCAGAAAGATGAATATCGTCAGGTATATTCACAAACCCCTGCACTTTCCACTGACAATCCAGTCATCACAGCACTAAGGGGCTGTTTATATGAGAGGCGGGACGGGACGATTTACATCTCGGGTTTATATGAGAATGTTTGCACCGGGACATTTGTCGCGGGAGCACTGAGTCTGAGACGTTGTTTGAGAAAGCGCGGGAAAATTAAATTTGGCCGAAAGAGACATGTAGACATGTACAAAAAGCAGAAAAAGATTCAGTCACTTTTATCTTTAGCTGCAGCTGTAATTAATCCAGTTTATTGTTCTTCTCCAGAACAACATGCTTTCTGCTTCGTATTTTGCCAACCGACACAGCTACTGGCAGGGGCGCCGGAGCCACGGGGGCAACTGCCCCCGTTGCCCAAACATTGCGGGGGCAGTGTCGAAACCATAATTGTAAAGCAAAGTAAAATCAGGCTTTATTCAACTTAAAACCTTGCTATAAACTCTAAAGTACAAATCTTACAAAATGGTGGTCAAACACCGCCTTATATAAACATAACTATTGCGGGCTCATAAACAATTGCCAGCTACTTCATATAACTACAGTAATGTCGTTATTATCTCATTCTTCCTCCCTAAAAGTTCTAAAACAATAGAAAGTTCCCAAGTAATTTACATTAATAATAATTGTCATATATAAGTACTATAACTAACAATAAGGTTCAAATTTTATAGTTCAATTCATAGAGTTACTAGTTCACAACCTTACCAACCGTAACGAGCTGGTGGTTTGCTTACACGAGTAGAAGGCCTTAGACCAGTTTCTTTTGTTAACAACTCGTGTTTAGCATTATCCGCTTGTGACTGAATCTCAGGAACTTGCAGAGTCGTAGAGTTTGGCGTTGGAGGAAATCCATCAGATGTAGGTAAGGGTTCTTGAGAAGGTTGAGGTTCAAGAGGGGTTCCATTCTGGATGGAAGAAGGCGGGCAGGGAGCCAGATCACGTAGAGAAACAGACGATTCTCTCCCATCAGCGTAACGTACACGTGCGTAGGTTGGGTTAACATCCGTTAACTCCACTTTATCCACAAGTGGATCGTTCTTACTTGTTCGAACAAATCGACGTAGCAATACGGGACCAGGTTGCATCCATGATGGCAGGGACACACCATATGATGAACGACGATGAAAGTTAAAAAACCTTTCATGTGGAGTTGCATTAGTTGACGTACAGAGAAGTGATCTAATCGAGTGAAGTGCATCAGCGAGTGCGAGTTCCCATCTTGAATCTGGTAGATTAGCTGACCTTAGAGCAAGAGAACCGCCTTCCAGATGATACCATTGTATCGTTCAACTTGACCATTGCCAATTGGATGGTACGGCGTAGTTCTACTCGTTGCCATTCCTCGTTTCGTTAGATAGTCCTTTAGTTCCCGAAAAAGGAAAGAGGTACCAAGATCTGAGTGAATATAGTTTGGCATGCCACAAAGACTGAATAACTGATTCAGACACATGATGACGGTTGAGGATTGCATATTTGGACATGGAAAGGCAAATGGGAAACGGGAGTACTCATCCACAACAGTGAGTATATATGCATTACGAGTAGCAGTAGGTAGTGGACCCTTGAAGTCGATACTAAGTATCTCCATAGGCTGTGTGGCTTTGATGAGGTTTCCGGGTTGCTGCGGACGATAAAACTGACGCTTCAATTCGGCGCAACTTCGGCATGCTGAACACACTTTCTTAACTTCTTCAGTGGAGTATGGAAGGTTCTTGGACTTTATGAAGTGTAACATTCGAGTTACACCTGGATGACACAACCCAATATGGATTTCTTCGAGGTTGTTTGATGACATCGAGGCAGAGAATGCGCGTGTGAATGAATCAGGAGCAACATTATCCTTCCCAGGCCGATATTCCACTGTATAGCTGAAGGAACTAAGCTCGAGTCGCCAAGCCTGGATCTTATTGTTCTTGATCTTGGTTCGTTTTCTGCTGTCGAACATGAACGCTACCGAACGCTGATCCGTTTTCAGAGTAAAATGACGACGAGCAAGAAAATGCTGCCACTTGCGAACCGCCTTTACGATAGCTATTGCCCCTTCTCTACTGCAGGATAGTGTAATTCACTGCCATGGAGCATCCTCGTCATGAATGCAACTGGTCGGCCAGCCTGATTTAACGTAGCAGAGAGCGCCACTTCCGAGGCATCGCATTCGACCACAAACGGCAGGCTCTCATCTACGTGTTGAAGAGCTGCGTTCCCAAGTTCTTTCTTGAGAGTATTGAATGCAGCTAGAGCGTCCGAATCCAGTGGGAATGTTACAGCCTTCATCAAAGGTTTGATCTTGTCAGAAAAATGGGGTATCCATTTTGCATAATAGGCGAACATACCAACTACTCTCTGTAGGGTTCGGGCATTCTCTGGTGGTGGAAACTCTTGGAGGGGGCGTAGCCTTTCTGGATCGGGAGTAATTACACCATGTTCAATACCATATCCAAGTAAATTGATTGACGACTTCAATTCAACAGATTTCGTTTCATTGAGGGTAAGATTCCTTCGACGGATAGCCTCGTGAAACTTCTGGACATTTTCATCATGCTGTTCTTGGTCTCGTCCCGCTACTGTTATATTATCCAAATATGGAAAGGTATCTTTGAGTCCCTCCTCATCATCGACAAACTTATCCATTGCCCTTTGAAAAACTGCTACCCCATTTGTAACCCCAAAAGGCACACGTTGGAACTGATAGAGTCTTCCGTTGGCTTCGAAGGCAGTATATTTCTGATCAGCTTCCTTTATTGGCACTTGATGATAGGCACTTTTAAGATCAAAAGTTGAGAAAAATTTGTAGCTAGCAAGATTGTTAATCATATCATCAATCCGTGGTAGAGGATAGGCGTCAAGCTCGGTATACTGGTTAACGGTCTGCGAGTAGTCTATGCAGAGCCGCTTCTTATGTCTATTCAACGGATCTTTAACAACAACAACCTGTGCTCTCCACGGTGAATTGCTGGGTTCAATGATCCCTTCCGAGAGAAGCTGATTAACCTCCTGTTGTATAAAATCGTGGTCTTCCTTACTAAAGCGTCTCGATTTACTTGCTATCGGTTTGCAATCTGGACGAAGATTCGCAAAAAGAGACGGCTCTTCAACTGATGCAGCAGAGAGAGCACAAACAGGGGTAGACTTTGGAATCATCAGCTCTGGTTTAGAACCACCATATTCAATAATAACGCTCTTGTGCTCTTTTTGGAAATCCTGACCTAGGATTATATCGCTACAAAGATCTTTAAGTATTCCCAGACGACAGGATGGATACATATGTTCATTCAGAGCAATATCTACATAGCAGTGACCAACAACATGTGACTTGAGGGAACTCAGGGCCATAGATACATCTTGTGTTGACCGATGAAAATGAAGATCAAGGTGTTTGGCCATGCTCTCACTTATATAGCTGTCAGAACTTCCAGAATCAACAAGTGCAGTCAACGGTTTGTTTCCAATAGAAACCATTACAGATGCTTGCTTCAAAGACTCTGGACAGGAAGCCACGATTGCACAAAGTGAAGGCGAAAATATTGAAGCAACCGTAGGGGCCTTTGACCTGCAAACTTTTGCATAATGCCCCCTTTTGCCACAGCTATCACACACACAATTTCGGGCAGGGCAATTTCTTCTATTATGAATAGAATTACCACAGAAATAACATTTCTTTGATGTAAATGTTCCGGCAAGAGGGGCATCGTCATTGGAGGCAGCAGCTTTCAAGGTCTGTTCTGTTACTGAAACAGCTGCCGCTGTAGGTGTGAGAATAGTGGGCATAGTATACGTTTCCGCGTTCTTCTGTGCTAAATCTAAAGCACTAGCTTGGTCAAAAGCAGATTTCAAATCTAATGTACTGTTCTCTAGAAGACGTTGACGAATTAATGGGGAAAGTAGACCATTAATAAATGAGTCTCGAATTAGTTCCTCCCGATACTGTTCAGCAGTAACACTTTTTAGATTACAATCCTTACTTAGTCTCCGAAGTTCCTGAATAAATTCTACAAGTGTTTCGCCTGGCTTTTGCCGTCTAGTAGCGAGTAAATGTCGAGCAAATATTTCATTCGGCTTTCTAATAAATAACTGATTTAATACTTCGAGCGCTGAATCATAATCAGTACAGTCTTCAATATATTCATACACGTTATGTGATACGTAGTTAATAAGAGTACGATACTTATCTGGAGCTCTTGAACCACACTCTGCGAGAAAGTTAGTAAAGGTCTTATGCCAATGTTTCCATTCTTTAGCTGCAGATGGTGAATTCGGATCCAAATCAAGACGAGCAGGTTTCAGTACAGTATCCATATTGAAGACAGTTTTTGAATTTTGGGATAGGTAATAGGACCTCTACATGCGTCTTGGACCTGTGGTTTGCTTATATTTTATAATCATAATTCATCCAATGGATTTCTTATATTTTCAACGGGGTCTTGAAATAGACCATCCCGTGAAATATTGTGTAAAAGGTGCACGCGTGTAATGCGTGCGTTGTTTTGTGTATCTTTATGTAAATCCATTGTAGAAATATCGTAATTGAAGTTGGCGTGTATTGTATGTAAAGTTATTACTTGGTAATTGATAGGTGTGATTTGATGATGCACATGAATTTATCACAGGGCCGGATTTGACCATACTGCGATATTGCAAATTAGGAATTGGTAATAGGGCTTGCATATTTTAATTTTGGAATAGGTAATAAGACCTCTACATGTGTCTTGGACCTGTGGTTTACTTATATTCATTTCACATATATATACACATATACACACATATACACATACATACATACACACACACATACACACATATACACACATATTTATCTAATGGATTTCCTATATTTTCAACTGGGCCTTGAAAGTAGACCATGCCGTGAGACCCCGTATAAGAGGTGCACGTGTATAACAGTGCGTTGCATATCCTTATATGTGAATCCATTTTAGAAATATCGTAATTGACGTTGGCATTTAATGTATGTAAAGTTATTACTTAGTAATTGATAGGTGTGATCATAGTTAATATTAACTATGGTGTGATTTGATGTTTTAATTCTGGAATATACCGGGTGTCCCAAAAAAAAGTACTCCGGTTTGATTCGTAATAACTTCGAAACCAGTAAAGCTTTTAAAGAGAAATAACTTGCATCAAATAGAGGAAGCCCTAACTTAGATTTTCATATATTACACTTGTTTTTCACTTAAAAATTCGCGGAGATATTAATGTTTAAAATCGGGAGCATATTTCTGGATGTGTCTGAAATATGCAAAAAAAGGGTATCAAATATTAATCAAGATTTGCCCGACTGAAACATGCACTATTACCAGTAAATAAATGACACTTGACAAATTGTTTATTATGAAACAAAGTATTGTTATCTACAAAATACAAGGAAGATTTATTCATCCGAAATCCGCGTGTGTTCCTATAGCACGAGTACGTTTCCTTATTTCATAAGACCACTGACTGCATCGCGAAGGATCGTCATGGATCGTCCGCGTGTTCTGAATTAGGGGATGCTGTCACAATGGAATTGTGAAGCTCTTCTAACTTTTGCAACGTTCTGAAATCTTGTTAAGAACACTCAATCTTTTTTGCTTTTTCTTAATCTTGACAAGTTCAGAATAAACTAAGAATGAAACACAATCAAACCATACAACTCCATAAGACATATCAAGCAACTCCCCAGAGACATCCAACATTTTTTGAACAAAACGTAACAAAATAGTAGCGTTGATACTGTGATGTGTATTTGCAAAATGCAGTATTATTTCCTTCATTAAAAAATAATATTCATCCTGCTCTAATCGAGAAATATTCAACTCTGATTTCAACCCATGAAAAGCATAAAAAATATAGGCTATTTAAGAAAAATTTAAGCGCCTGCCTTGAATGGTCTTTCATGTACCTTTAAGTTTGTATTAAAAACCTATTAAATACTTTACGTTTATATTTCGTAATATAATACGAACGTTTATATTTCAGGAAACAATTAGCTTAGATGTAAGATGTCTAAATCTATGCCATATCCTTATACAATCCCTGACGACAATTCGCTGAAATACAAGTTAGCCTGATATGTCATTAAACAAACAAACGCTGGAGTTAATATTTGATATGCCGATTTTCGCTAATTTTAGACACATCCCAAAATATGCTCCCGATTTTGAACATTAATATCTCCGTGAATTTTTAAGGCAAATACAACTGTAATATATCAAAATCTAAGTTAGTCCTTCCTCTATTTAATGCAAGTTATTTCTGTTTGATAGCTTTACTTGTTTAGAAGTTATTATAAATCAAACCGGAGTACTTTTTTTTGGGACACCCGGTAGGTAATAGGACCTCCACATGCATCTTGAACCTGTTTACTTGTAATCATTATTAATCTATTGGATCTCTTTCATTCTCAACGGGGTCCCGAAAGTAGACCATGCCGTAAAATATTGTATAAAAGGTGCACGCGTATTATGCGTGCGTTATTTTGTATCTTTTTATGTAAATCCGTTGTAGAAATATCGTCACTGAAGTTAGCATGTGCTGTATGTAAAGTTATTACTTGGTATTTGATAGGTGTAATTTGATGATGCACATGAACTTATCACAGGGTCGGATCTGACCATACTGCGATATTGCAAATTTAGAGTTGGTAACAAGACTTGTGATTTTGTGTTGTGTAATTTTCCTGTAATGCTGTATCTTATTTGAATAAATGGTTTTCTGAAATTTATCTTAACAGGGTCTGGATAGTAGACTTAGTCCTTGTTTTACACTGTGTACTGTTTCCGTAATCTGTCCATCACATGTAGGTGCGTCTATGTGAGGATTGTAGATTTATTCCTTAGTATTTAAGTATATATGCAGTTAGATTATGTACATACTCACAGGGTCTTGAAAGCAAACCATGCCGTGAAATATGTAATGAGGCCTATAGTTTGTGGCCTGTATCTAACTATTGATAGGTGGAATAGGTAGATGTTGCACAACCTACCAAAATTACGGCTTATAGAATCGGGCAAAACATTTAGTTATGCCACAAGGGTAAACCTAATTAGATGTCCTTGAATAATCATCCCAGATGGTTTACAAAACACAAAAAAAACAAAAAAACAAACACGTGGTGTCCAGGATCTGGCAAAAAGTTTTTATGACTGCATAGTGTGGCAGTCATTACGTAGTATATACTATATAGATTAATACTTTTAAATAATATATATAATAAGGATTGATTGTCCAAAGCAGTTCGAAGCAGTCCGAGCCAGTTTCGCGTTTCAACGTGGTATGGATTCTATTGGGTCAATATCATTAGAAATGACTACAGAGAAAGGCGAACATGGGTCGAACGGCATATAGAATGGCCTTGGACAAACCATCCCATTGGTTCAACAAAAAATAAAAAATAACATCAAGGAGATAAATGGATGGTATTGGAGAGATGTTGTGATTTTAAATGGAACATTGAATAATGACGTGACTGTGTATTGGGGCTATAGCAAACCTCACAGAGTCTTGGGTTGACCGTGCTGGTGAGGTATGTTAGCGGATGGTATATATCATATGGAAGATACAGTATATATAGTTGTGTTATTCACAGGAATTGGAGTTTAGAGCGATTTTAATTAAAGCAATGTTTAAAGATGCGGTACAGTCCGTATGTAAACAAAGGATTTGTTTACATTTCAGTATCGAAAATATAGAATTTTATTCGACAACTATTTATATTTTCATGATTCTAGAGTATAATAAATTATCAAAACACCACAATCAAGCTTTGCAAGAACATAAAATGAAATAAAAACCTAAATAAAGTGTTTGTATAATAAAAAGAGGGCTCCCTTGTGCACATACGCATATCGGACTGTACAGCATATCTTTAAGCAATCTTTGCTTAATTTTTAACCAGTTGTATTAAACTTAATGCTATGTACAGGGGCGTAGGAAGCATCAAAAAGTTGGGGGGCACCGGTTTCGAGGGGCACTTTTGGAATGAAAAGGGCACCTAAAAATGTTTCCCGTAAATGTCGTCTACGGGGGAGCGGGGGGGGCAATCATAATAAATGCAATCATATTAAAATTAAAGGCCTTTGAGGCCGACTCACGGATGAGATTAAATGAAAGTGACAGAAAGAATTAAAGCAGTTTGCAGTTGTTTTTGCAGTAAGCATCGTGCAAATGTTGCCATTTGTCGTGCCCAAGCCTGATTTCCGGTTCTGAAAGGCCCGATTCACAGGAAAAGAGTGCGCGCCAAGCATACTAGTCATTTCTCATTGTTTAACTGCCCCACACTCTAGTAACCACAAAGACTCACATCCGTGAATCAAAAATACAATCTGAACAAAATTTTTCACGAAGGCAAAGGGCACTTTTGTCACCGGAAAAAGGGCACTTTTTAGGTGTTCTGAAAACTTTGAGGGGGGCTTGGCCCCCTTGCCCCCCCCCCGGTTCCTACGCCCCTGATGCTAAATAAAGCAATATACGTCCGTTTACTGATTTATACCTTTAGCACGGCGCAACGAATAAAATTGTTCAAATTAATGTCGAAGTTTGCGACCTATAATAGCCAGAAGTAATCGAGTATCCATGCAGTAAAGTTTTAACAAATATTGCTGCCCAGAAAAATGATGGCTGAGAAGCAAGTGCCCTTTTGAAATGGCTGCCCCCGCCCCTTCACATTGCTTCCGGCGCCCCTGCCCCTACTGGAAAAGACGATTTACGAAAAGCAAGAACGAAAAGCGAATAGAAAACATCAATCAACTTATTATCAATCATCTCAACTGAATTTGCAAAGACTGGGATGCCGCTTTGCCGGGACGGGAGAAAAAACGTCACGCTTTCATATATAAACATCTCAGGGTGATAAATATAAGAGAAATGTATACAAGCCGGGATTCTGTTCTTCGTCCCGTCCCGGCAAACGTCCCGTCTCTCATATAAACAGCCCCACCAATCGCCTTTGGCTTTCATGTGTTAGAACTAATGAGTATTTATAATTTAGTATTTCCAATACACGCTTCCAACATAACGTAATGTAGTATTGGTCTCAAATGGACTTAGAAAACTACGGATATATAGATGGGGATTCAACTACCTGAAAAATACAAGGTAGACAAACGTCATTCGTCGGGGAGTTAGTAGCGAAGGACCTTCGCTCGAAACGTCGAAGTTTTATTTGTATTTTTCAGGTAGTTGAACCTCAATCCTTCCGCAGTTTTCTGGTGTTTTTGTCAATACCTATACCATGTGGTATTCTGTGCCTATACGCAGGCACAGATGAGTTTATTTATATCAAATGAACTTACCATTTACCACTCCAGAAACAGTAGCCTGTGCATTCACCTTCTGTCCAATACGTGCAGGTATTGAGCCAGTTAGGATAGAAGTGGGACCACAATTAAACATTCCAGTGAGAAGTGAAAATGTTAAGTTATATACCAGCCCCCAGGAACTGGTAATGAGGAATAATGATAGAGATATAGCACTAAGAACTATTACGATAAAGCATCCCATCATTTCACGATCATTCAGAATTCTGTAAAAGACAAAAGAAACAAAGAAAACATTTGCAAGTCCGTCAGAAACTACAACTTTCGCGTCGTAGTTTTAATAATATCTAAAAAAGCACCATTCGCCACTTAACAACTACATTGCCGTGCCAAACAGTTTTTAACATGTTACAATACTCAATAGGCGTAGATTCCCTCAGAAATGCGGTGTGTTATGTACTATTTAAAAAACGAGCAGGAGTGTTTTATTAGGTTTAAAGCCACGAGCGCGCAGCGCGAGTGGCTTTAGACCTAATAAAACACGACCCGCGAGTTTTTTAAATGACTTCAAAAACGTATGCATAATAAGTCAAATCTTTATATAAAAATCTTTATACAAAAATCTTTATATAAAATTCTTTATATAAAAACCTTTATATAGTTTGCATAACAATGGTCTTTTGTTAAAGTGTTCTTTAGCTGGTATAAAGACGTATGCACGTGACTAATTTCTTACTCAAGATTGGATAATTGCTTCATGAATTATTAATGAGTTTTTGAAGATTATTAAAATATTTTAATTACTTCAAAAGTCTTGACTCTTGTTCTGTACTTACTTGTTAATAAAAACACCAATCAAAGCAGATCCTAAAACTCCACCAATTTCAAAGGTTGTAGACAACATTCCTGCTTGTGATTTACTGTATTTCAGAGCTTCATGGAGATACATTGGAAGCCACATGTACAGACAATAACGAACAAGTTTTACACAAATCACTGCTACCAGTAGTTCAGGTACTTTCTCTAACCGGCAAACATCCAAAACGCCTAGAGGTTCTACATTTTCACCTGAAGTCGCTTCTGTCGCTTGGGTTTTACCTGGAATCTCAATGTTTAATTCAGATGGTGTTCTCAGCATAGAGAACACCAGCAAACCAATCACAAAAACAATTAACGAAGGAATTATAAAAACTATTTCTAACTCTGGAGAATAAATATATTGTAAATAAACAGTCAGTGATGTTCCCATTATACCACCAGCAAAAATGCAAGTTCCCCATAAACCAAATATAGACGCACGATGTTCATCTGAGTACCATGAACTGAGAGCTTTAACGCAGTTAGGCCAAGCTGTAGCTTGAAATGTCCCGTTGAAGAAAAGGAGACTGGCAAGAATCAAATAACTTTTCCAATAACCAAACGATATCTGCAAGATAAAAATTACCATGTGAACAAAAGTATAGAATCTTTCTGTTTACAAATGTTACGTTTTCTATGATTTCTAAAATTTCTATGATCACAGTCATAAATACATACCAACTAGCTGTGTACATGTACAAATATCAATCCTCAAATGCTTTATATAGCTATACTAATCGGACCCACTGCATTCCATGCACTATTTTGAAACTGCAGAATATATCAAATCTAAAACCCTGCGTATCTTTCCATATATATCAATCAATTGGTTGATCAGTCAGTATGCAGATGAGTTCAACTTGGGATCTTGATGGGATTTTATGGAAATCCAGTTTAGATAACTCATTAAATAGCTAAATAGTTTATCCTGAACGGCAACTCTAGGCTCTCTTCTTCAAACTCCAATAAGGCCGCTCTCAAGGCTAGCTGTTCCAATATTCAAATGTGCTGCTTATTGGCAGTGGCGGCGCCAGGAGGGGATTTTCGAGCGGCGAAGGTGCGAGACACTACTAGGGGAGTAAGGGGGTCCGCGGGCATGCCCCCAAGGAAAATTTTTTAAGTCTAGAGTCCCTGAAATACGATTTCCTGCATTTTCAGGGTAAGATTATACAGAATTCCGAAGATTATAAAGTAAACAAAACACACGATTTTTTCATGACTATAGTCTATACGTATATATAAAACCTGCAAATATAGTATTACACCATAGTCAATAGAATAAGAAGGTAATAGGGATTATCTATGTTTTTGTCTGGTTTATGCAAGAAACGAACGGTTCATATATCGTCATGGGTGTATTATTTTTTTACCAATAGCAGTGTGATGGTTTAATTCACCCAGTAAATGAATGAATGAAGACTTTATTTAACGAGAGTTAAACACATGCCAGTTTGCACTGACAAATTTGTGGCTCTAAACTATACTACTTGTGTATACTATCTATGAACTAATGTTTATATACTGTACATATTGCTAAACTCAGGATAAGAGACTATTACACTATATTACATGTAAAAGATATTATATATAAGATTATATGATAAAATGATCAATGTTTTCGTAGCTCTCCTTAAAGAGCAGTTTCATGCTGTGTTTAAATGAAGCCACGGATTCCGGGCTTTTCACGCACCGTCTTAGGTAACTGGTTCCATCGTTTTATGGTCGTAAAACAATGGAACCAGTTACCTAAGACCTACCCAGTTACCTACCCAGTCGTAATATTACACAATGGCTAAAGTTAAACAAAAACATATTAACTATTGGTTACTCTAGTCTCTAGCGAAAATACAATACACACATGACGATGAACCGACCATTTTTTTGCATAAACCAAGACAAAGACAAAGATAGGTCTATTATGTCTGCATCGAGTTTCCTAACATTCTTATTCTGTTGACTGTGATTACGTTGATGGACAGCTGCCTAAAGGAATTGCTACTTCCGGGAAAATTGAAGTCAACAGGGACGCCGGAACGACGAGAGGGGGCAGACTTTCGTCGAAGCCGAAGGGCACTTTTGAATTGATATATAATTAAAGGACATTTACGAACCATCTGGAGTTTAACGCTGCCATAAATCATAATCACGTTTCTGATTTTTAAAGAAATAGGGAGGTCTGCGGTTATCCCCCCAGAGGATTTTGATATTTTTGAAGCTCAATGACTGCATTTCTGGCACAAAAGAATTCAGCCAAAAATGCCCAAAATGACTGTTGTCGTACGCGAAATTTGAGCTATATATAGAGGCTCGTTTAAATCAAGTTCTTTCAAGTTATTTTACTTTTTATATATTGTTATCGCTTTACAGTTATTTTAACTTCGCCCTCCTTCTCGGCCAATTTTTTTTTCAGAGGTCTTTGCGAAAAATATGAGATGACACGCACGTTAACAGCAAATTGGAACAACACTGGAATCATATAAACTTAATTTCCATACATTTCTTACAGTTTTCCAGGAAAAGTTTGTTATATCATATAGTTTATATAGTTCTATAATAACAAGAACGAATTCTTTCTATTAATAACAAATATTTTCCTTTAATCAAAAGGCCACCTTCGCCCCCTTGCCCCTCCTGGTGAAGGGCAAGAGGGGCAGCTGCCCTTCCTGCCCCCTCAGTTCCGGCCCCCTCAGTTCCGGCGTCCCTGGAAGTCAACATAATTTTATATTCAAATACAAATGGAATAACTGTTAGGTAGAATAATAATGGGTATTATTGGCTAATATATGTAATCATAAATCTGTTTACAAGAGAAGCTTACGAGGTTTTGCAAGCTTAAATATTTCCACTAATTTGCTAAGTTCAATATTGTTGGCTAGATCTCGTTCACTGCTAATCTGGGCAAGGTCCTCGAGTCTATTAGGTGACATAGCAGCTCACAAATGTATTCATTTGTTTATTATTTTGACCTTGCTGTGTGTGTGCTCACATGATGCCACTGTCACAAGCAAGGTAGCGACAATCTTGATGACCTCAAACAAGTCGTGATAAAGCCTTTAAAGGTGGTGCAGATCATCTTTGCTGAAAACTTCGGGCAAGGAGATTCAGCAGATCCAAGATGGAAACTTTCTTTTGGAACCTTTCTCTTTCCTTTCCTTCTCTTTGCTGATATACTTGTACACAATCTTCCAGTCGCTACATTGGATATTCCAGTCATATGTACTCTTTGTACCATTTCTTTTGAAATTTAAACTTTCTCCCCAATATTTCCGATATTGAAAAATTTAAGATTGGTCTAACTGGTCCAGATTCGACAACGAAGGTTATATTTGCCTCACATGCAATTTCACTTGATGGATCTCTTAACCTTCAAATATTTTTCTCTTTCAGTTGTGTAGTGATGTGTGCCAAGAAGCTAATGACCATATGACGTTGCATGAGTGGTGCATTAATTAACATAACGCACACCTCAGCAGCAAGACCAAACTTCCACATCACACATTACTCACACATTACATACCCCATGCACTTAATTTGGGCAATATATTAACCCATTATGGTGGGTTTCCTTTTGTTGGCGGTGGTAATGGTAAATACTGCATATATGAAACAGTCTTTCGTCAAAAGTAAAGCGATGATCTTTTAATACCGGTTTTAATAAAGACTGAATTTATTAAGTTAGATAAAAATAACTGGACTGATGTCACAAACGTACATCCCCCCCATTTTTCTCACCGGATTTGGTCAAATTAGAAAATTGACCTTGAAGAGAACTGGGGGGGGGGACGTGTCCTCCCTGTGGCGCTGCCACTGCTTATTGGATACTTTTTTTTTAACCTTTTTGTCAAATTCTACCTGTCTGTACCCTGACAGTGGCAATGGCACTACAATTTTACTCGTCAAGGGGAAAGTGCTGATAAAATAGTGATATAAAATTATTAATACAAATATAATAGCTATAGGTGTTATATTAAAGGTGCATTTGTAAAAAATGGAACAAAACAACACAAGCCTACGCACCATTGAAAATGCTGAACCTATCAAACAAATGGTCAAAGCTTTTCTTGCACCAATTTTATCTCCTAAACTTCCAAGTAGCATTTGCATAACAGCATAAGGCAAGAGTAAGGCAGCATCAAGCCATCCCATTTCAGTCTTTTTCAAATGATGAGTTTTTTCCAAGTCTGGTTTGATAACACCAAGAGGTTTTCGAAGCAGATATGTGGAGGCATAAGATAACCATGTTATGAAGAATATAAAAACTTGGCGAATTTTCAGTGAAGTAGACATAAAAAAGTTTGAAATCAAAGTTCAATATTTATAAAGTTTCCAAATTCCAATATTGATTGGCAGGTCACCAATCGGAATAATTCATGTAAGCCAGTAATATTGGATCGAAAATCAAGATGGCGGACGCCGTTACGACAAATATTTCGTAAATCTCGTAAAACTAGGAGTTACTATCGCAAGGAAAGTGCTGCCGTTTGGCGACATGAACTGAATGCAAAAGAGTGTACTTCTAGACAATTCTCTAAAGGGAAGTTTACTTTTGACCCAATGCCCAATGACCAATCACAAACTTATTATTAAACTGTGAGTCTGTGTGCACGGAACACGAGTAAACAACCAACATGAAAATGAGGCCATTGGGTCAAAAGTGGATAAACGGCATACCCATTAGCTGGTAATGCACCCTACTTTAGTATTAACTCGTCTAACCCCAGACAAATTTACACTCTGTAACGCCGGACGATTTTACTTGTCAGTGTTAGAGTACTGTCAGTATTAAATTTTTAACAAACCTATCTGCCAATGTCTCTTATTAGACCCCATTGGCTGGCAATGCGACCTACTTTAGTATTTACTGTGATACTGTCTATCAACGCCGGACAACTTTACTCGTGAGTGCCAGTAAACGGGTTAATTTCTCGTCACGCCCCAATTTAAAATTTTTACGATTTTTATTGTTTCTAATTGTAGATATCTCAGCGAATATACCCCCCCCCCCTTTAAAACGAAAAGCACCATTGTAATCGTGACAAAACATCCTTTACTTAAGGCCTTTTCAACGGGGGGTCAAATGCCTTCAAATCACTGACACAAACCGAAACAATGAATCATATATTTACGAAAAAAAACTTGAATATCTTCCAAACTCTTCATAATTTGCTCAATGAGAGTATTAAAAATCAGCCTTGTATTCAAGCGCTTTCATGTAGAAAGTTTCGTTTGAATACGGCGAGTAGAAATTTTTATTTTGAATTTTTCGGGTCTTTATTCGCACGCGCGCGCCACGTGTATGCTGGAATTTAAGGAAATCTGAGGAATTTTCGAGCTTATTCTAAGGAATTCGAAAATTTGATTGTGAGAGCACTGGATGCACGTGCAAACCACTGCCACTGGGAGTACTTTGACCTGTAGAATGTTTTGTTTTGATCGCTTGATGATGCGCTAAAAATAAACGGATTGATTTATTCTGCAAATACCGAAATAAAAGATGAAAATCTGAAGACACAAACTTGAAAATAACACTCTATAAATAGTGTTTAGGATTCTGGTTCGAATATTTATACGAAAATGATATGTCCAAAGCCAAAGGGGCCGAAGTTATTTTCGGTGAAATATATAGTGAAAATGATACCGCTTGACCTCTCAAAGGTCATATTAAAATAGCTTTGTATCGTTAGGAATTAGGAGATTTTGTTTCACTGAATCGAATGGTGGTATTGTTGTCTTCATAGCGTGCACTGACTCGAAGATAAGAACCTTGCAAAGTCATAGAGTTGAGAGCTCGGAGAGATTGTTATTGAACACAAATTATAGACATAGTGTATTTATATAAATGACAATACTCGACTTTGAAGAAACAATTTAAAATTAAATTCTCAAACTCTTTCATAATACATAGTACCCAGAGACTTGTAGTAGGTAACCATAAAGTGGATAGCCATAGACATGGTAGTCTTCATAGGCATAGCCATAGCAGAGATATGAACCCTGTTTCCCTCGATATTCGCAATGTCTTTAATAATAAACCGCGGGTTCATTTAATACATCAATATAAAATTTTAAAACACTGAATATATAAACTAAACTTACAGATATAATCACTTTTAATGCATTTGTTCGAACACTGACTGACACAATCAAAGGCAAACTGGGCAGGTTGTTTGACTCAGTGTAGCATATAAAATGTTATTTAATATTTAATGGGAACTATAAAGTCTAAACCGTAGACGTAGTCTCAAAACCGTACGTTGATGAATACTTCCACGAATATTACCAGTAAAGTTGTGGCATATAAACTGCACTTGTAATACCTTTAAAATTATGATCACTTCCTGACACATCGAATATATCTTTCACAACTGTGTGACTGTGTGAAGACACGTTCATTAGCATTCGCGTTTCCCTGATGTGTCACCCCCCGTGGCCCCCCGGTTTGCCGACGGACATCCAAATTTTGAACAAATCTCGATTCACGTCGACAATACATAACTCGGCCAAAGAGACTGGGCACAAGTGAATGTCAAGAATAGTGTGCTGCCCATCCTCGTTCCCAGGGCTTCTCGGCTGCCTGCGTTGCCGTAAGCCCTGGGACAAGCCGAAGCAGAAGTGATTTGATTGGTCGTTGGAAATAGAGTGAAATATGAAAAGTTTATTCATCAAGTGGATGTTTATATTCGGCAATATGGCTGCCTTCAAGGAGTGCGCGTTCGAAATGCGAAGAAATACGAACGTATACTGCTTGTTTTCTATGGATTAATGGAGATAATTTGCAAACAGAAAGAAAGAAAGTAACAAAATGGACAATTATAAAGTAGAAGTAAGCAACAATATCGAAGAAACGTCAATTATGAAGCCATTAAAAAGTTTCTTCATTTTAACATTTTCTTGTTATAAAGTTGTCTATTATTAAAACATTGTGCTCAAGTATAATTGTAAAATTTTACGCACACTGTAAATATAAAATGTTTAATAATATATAGTTACGATAGTAAAGTTTTAATGGTGTAATATATTGTGTTTTATTAATTATTATGCTTTTGGTATTGGTCACTTGGCCTATTTAATACCCGCCTATATTAAAATGGCCCTATATTAAAATGGCCAATTGGAATTTATAAATATAGCATATGGAATATTATGGGTGTATTTTACTATTTCTGAATTTTCCTCAGTTGTATTATTCGTGAGTAATTTTAATAGCTTTTAATTAAATACAGTGAATAAGCTTATAAGCATATTCAATTGCACCAGTCATTTGAATCCTTGCACCTTTGGCATACAACCAGAGGGGAATGCAAGGACAATCGCCTCTTATTCACTGGTTTATCATTTCTTGGCAAACAGGGAAGACACATACTTTCAGTGTCCAAGTCAGGAATGAATGAGGTCATGGGGGGGGGGTCACTTAGTCTTTTATATAAATGTTGAAATAAAGCAGTTGGCTATATAAATGTTGAAATAAAGCAGTCGCCTAGGAAAGGCTTAGTCTTTTATATAAATGCTGAAATAAAGCAGTCGGCTAGGAAAGGCTTTTACAGAACAGTAAAGGAATGGTTTGGGAAATTTCATGTAAAAATTCCAATTGAATACCTGGGGATGATAGGACTGAAGAAATTTACCTTGCCATTTTGTCCTGGCTGCAGGGGACTTCACTGAATTTCACACACCAAATTAAGTGAATGACCCTGGTGGAATACTTATTCTCTTGACTTATTGCAAATCTTGTAAGAATTACAAAACTGAAAATTTGTATATGTATATGCAGGCTTCTACC